TTAATGTCAAATGCATATATCAAAAATGAACAATGGACGTTCTTTGCAAAACAAAACAGATAAAGGAAAAACAGTTTGAAATTTCTTTGAAAAATGAATTGTATTGATTTTGCAGTTTGTCCTATAAATAGGCGTTTTTGTACAAGAGGCTGACGTCCTAGTATGAGAACGCCGCTGAATAATAGAATTTACACAATTTGTGAAAAACTAAACAAAACAACTATGTGAATGATCCCACTGGGTTCCAACTCTGCTATTGCCTTTATATCCTCGAGCATCTCATCACTTTGCTACTGGTTAAAGGTGAATCAGATTGATTAGTGCCGTCCGAGCTTGATAGTTGATACCTAAGTCTGGATGCAAGGTGATCCAATGAGACATAGTGTTACGCTTTGATCCCTAATTTTTGCCTGGACCGCTGTTGTACCCCAAAATTTGCCCTCCCTTTTTTTCACAAGAAATCATAACTTCGGGGTTTGCCCTGATTTTTCAGATTGGCTCAAGAATCGATCAAACAAACTTTTCTTTATCAGTCAGTCCAAAATTAGGGTTTCCATTGATTTTGAATCAGTCAAACAGACTTTTCTTTATCAGTCAGTCCACAATTAGGGTTTCCATTAATTTTGAATCAGTCAAATAAACTTTTCTTTATTAGTCAGTCCAAAATTAGGGTTTCCATCGATTTTGAATCAGTCAAACAGATTTTTCTTATCAGTCCGTCCAGAATTAGGGTTTCTATTGATTTGGTTGAGTTTGGCTCAGGAATTGATCAAGCAGACTTTTCTTTGACGGCAAATCTGGAATTAGGGTTTTTCACGCGTATTTCTCAGAAGAATTTGAATCCACAGTATTTCAATTGACTGTTACATTGTTTTACGCTTGTTCAAGATTGTTGTTTGTTTCTCAAAACCTAAACATCTGGGCTAGGAGCTGAGGCTTTTGATTGAAAGTTTAAAGCATTGGTTTGATCAGTGAAGTGAAAGGTGTATGGACGTTTGTTTGTTTAACTGTATAAAGCATATGATTAATTGGAATGTCGGGCGTATTATGGTTAATACAAGGTTGCGAGATTGCAAAGTTTATTGATTATTTATTTTATTTGAGTTAAAATTATTGGGATGCATTTCCAATTATTTTAATTCAAGAGATTTAAATAATTAAATAGACAGTGCAGAAGAAATAAGGAATTATCTGACAAAGACTTTTTATTTATTTTAATTGTTGTTACAAATGTTATTTGAATACTGTAAATTTATTTACAATGTTTACAATAATATTTATTACAATAATTGAAAAGAAAATAAATCTAAAATCTAAGTCTCTTGAAGTCTTCTATCTTCTACTGCTTCTTCCATTATCTAACTGGTATTTACCTGCAAAGACAGAAAAAAGAAATCAGTACAGTTAAATTAAAAAAGCATTTTCAGGCAGATAAATATAAAGTCATCATTAAAGATTGTTGGCCGAAATCAGATTGTTTTGGTTTCATCATGTTTTACTCGTCCTCTTTGCAAATCACAAGAAGATTTCTCTTCTTGGTTCACAAAGAGGAAAGTAAAATATTTTTGCAAGCATACAATCAATTAAATGCAAGGATACAAGGCACAAGGCTGCACACAAAGAAGGCACAAGGCTGGACAATGTCAAACTGAACAACATATTGCATTAGTCAACCAAGTTGCACAAAAGCAAACCAAGTTGCACAAAAGCAAACTAAGTACACAAAACTGTCAACCAAGTACACAAGCTGTCAAAAAACTGTCAATGCAGAAAATATGGAAGTACAATGCAGAGATACACCAAGATACAAGCAAGCAAGCTTGTCAAAACATCTCATCATGTTCTGGCCAACAAAACTTTTCAGAATAAAGATATATTAAGCAATTTAAAAATGCTTTATGGAGAGAGAAAGAGAGTGAAGTAGAAGGTTTGCAGTTTTGGCAGGCTTAAAAGGATAAGAATAAATAGCACAGTGCTAACAGTTCATAAAAAAGGCCACAAAAACTGGAACTTGCTTTCAAAACCAGAAGCAAACTGCAAGCAAACCACAAGCAAAACTCAGCAAACCTGCCTGTACCAAACAAATAAAACCTCCAACCTGTACTAAACTCAGAAAACTGCAAGCTGATATCAAAAACACCAGTCTGCCTTCAGAACCAAAAAATGCAAGTCCAAAACTGCAAGCTGAAAGAACAAACATCCAGCCTGCATAACTAAAAGCCTCCAAACCTGTGGCCTTTACAACTGCAAGTTATCAAACTTGCAAAACCTGCAAAAAAACAAGAACTCAGTAGCCTGCCTGCCTTACCAACAAGAAGCCTGAAGCATGCCTCAAATTAAACTGCAAGTTATCAAAACCTGCCTCAAAAACAAAAGCAAGCAAGCTCAACAAAAGATCCAAGCCTGCCTAAAACTGTACAAGCCTTCCTTACCAAAGAAGCCTTCAAACATGTCCAAGTACATAACAAACCTGTAAAAACTGCAGTTCAATCCAAACTCAACAAAGACAAGCAAACACCAAATGCTCATCAGCCTGCCTTCACAAAAGCTCAACAAAGAACAAATAAATTCACCATCATTAAACATCCAAATCAAGAACAACAAATAGCCCTTTTCAGTTCAAGTTCATCATCACAAAAAAGCATAAGCCAAATCAATAACAACAGCAACATCTCAGAAAAATTCATCATCATAGAAAAGAGGAGAAGAAGAGAAGATTCAGAAGCAAAATGGTATAAAGTTTCAGAATACGTATGTTCATCACTAACATATCAAAAGAAAATCTCAGAATACAATCATCACTGACAAAATATCCAGCGCCCAAAGAAGAAGGGGCGATTTTAAAAGCTAACAACAAACAAACTTCAAAGTTCATCATCATCAGAATCAACAAAGCCCATAAAAAGGAAGAGTTTAGAAACAAGCGTTTTCAGTAATAAAATTCATCATCAAGCGATTCAAGAGAAGTAAAAAATACAGAAAATACCAAAAGTGAGCTAGCATCATCATCCCGCACCCTCCTCCGGCCACCTGAGAGCGCCGCCGATCCAACCCTCCACCGCCTCTCCAGAAACAAAACCCCAAGGTATCAATTTCCCTCTTTCTTTTCCTACATCACCATATCATGAATATCAAAGTTTAAAGCTTAGTAAAACGATAACATGCAAGCATACAACCTAAACCCTAAAACACGTTTAAAATAAAATTAGTACCTTTCAAATCGCCGCCCTGTGTAGCCACGGAGAGGAGAGGTTGGAGGTGGCGTTCTGGTAGCCTAAGGCGAGAGGAGAGGACATCAGTTTCTTGGTTTGAGAAAGACAAAGAGGATGAAGACGAGAGGAGAGGAGTGGCGCCGTTCACAAACTGCAAACCTAATTCTGGGAACATGAAACACGAACCCTAGAAATTTGTTGTACAAACAATGCATTTGGGCCTTCGCCCCATAAACTAAACTAAGGCCCAATTACTTTCAGCGCCTGCACCCCCCTTTAGTCTAACTATGTTTCTTTTATTTGGGCCAAATACGTTCCTCAAAGCCCATTTAACTTCTTTTTTTATATTTTTGAAAACCAATACTTTTTTATTTTATCACCACATTTTCATAACCTAATTCTCTTTGTTAAATAAAAATAACATTTTAAATCTTTGTATAAAATATTCTTAATAACTCTTTTTAATATTTATTGCATTTAAAGGTATATAAATAATAGATTTTTAATAATTTGTCTTTGTTTTAAAATAATACATAATCTTTTTAGGTTAGAATCTTCATTTGATCATTTGTAAATAGCTATACGCATATCATACTTCTTTGATTTCCATTATCTCTTACCTTGTTATATTTTTACATTGAGAATGCGACCATTCGATTTGGTTGTAAATAATATTTGGACATTATTATTCTGATAAGACTCATCCCCATTTGTAAACATTTGTACCCCCATCCCCGGATACTCATTTGTAATAACTTAGACTTTAAATTCCCGCAATTTATCTCTTTCCATATATTGTATATTAATTAGGGTTTGTATGTGAAGATTCAAAATCAACGGCTAGATAACCTAATACAAGATAAATGCATGAAAATCAATACACCATCCACACTTGCACCTCTAGGGTAACCTCGCTTATTGCCTCGGAAAAAGCAATCATGTCCCTCGAGTATGAGACACTCTAGCAAATGTCCCTTCGATAAACAAATATTGTTAGTCCCTCGATGACCCTCGATGTTGCCTTTGATAAAACGATCTCGTCCCTTACAAAATTGCTAGAGCGTCTCACAAGTTGCCTTCAATGATTGTATACGATGACCCGCGCCTGTCCCGTTTAACATCCTAACGCAAGGTTGTTCATCAAACACAATGGTGAAACACTACAAGAAAATTGGCAGATTGCGACAGGTATTTTTGTAGATTACGACGGTTAAAACCGTCGCAATTTGCTTTTCACGACGGTTGCTTTACCGTCGCAGAAGTGTGTGTCCCCAACCTATTTCGCGACGGTTACAAAAACTGTCGTTCAAGTTTACGACGGGTTGATACCGTCGTGACTATCTTTTGAGTTTCTTTTAATTATTGATGGCGACGGTTCGATACTGTCGTGAATATCTTTTGAAATTGATTAAATTGTTTATGGCGACGGTTCGATGCCGTCATGACTTTTGTTGATTATTTTTAATTGTTGATTACGACGGTTCGGTACTGTCGCCATGACTTTTGTTTATGTCTTGATTTTTTTTAATTTTTCTATTATATATTTTTTTTATTTAAATTATTATCTATGTAAAAAATTTTAAATATAGTTTTTTTTTGTGTTATTTTTTTCTTTAAATTATTTCTTCTTTAATATATTTATTTATAGTATTATTTTTTGTTTTATTTTCTATCACTTTGTAATATAGTAAAAATAATTTCAACAAAAAATATTTAACATCAAATAAGCATTATAATATCCAAAAAAATGTGTGTTCCATAATCATGTAAAATGCGAGTTCCATAATCATGTCAAGTAGTACAAAAAACCCAAAATATATCAATTCCAATTTTTATAATAATAAGTATCATTATGCCAAAAATACATGAGAAAGTTCACAATCTAATTATCTCGATCATAGCAAAGTCTAATTTGTCCCCCCTGAAGTTCCATTATCTCCAATACGGTAGCTAGACTCAGATGAACGTCTACCATCAGCGGGTGATTCCAATCCCTAAAAAAATGTATTAAAATAATAATCTTTAAAATAATACTCATAAAATTTAACTTTAAATGCGTCAAAATAATATACCTGTCTTCCACTAAAATTCTGCATTTGCATTAAGGGTTGCCTTCTACTTTTGATGGTTTGAGTTTTTCTGTGTTTTGGAAGAGGAGGGACGGGGTTTTGGTGACTCGATCAGCTAAAGTGATTCAGTCTGTAGCTGAATATGATGAGAAGTTGACTTATACTTGCTCGGTTTACGGCAGTAGGAGTGGACCTCACCATTCTGCAAAGTATGAAGCGAAGCACTTTTTGCTATATGCTTCTCTTCTCAGTGCACCGGAGCTTGATTTGGGGAAGCACCGAGTTGATCTCACGAGGTTGCTTCCTCTTACTCTGGAGGAGCTTGAGGAGGATAAGAGCTCGGGTAAGTGGACTACTAGTTTCAGGTTATCAGGAAAGGCTAAGGGTGCTGTGATGAATGTCAGTTTTGGGTATATGGTTGTTGGTGATAACGCCAGCACGACCAAAGATGGTCATAATGCTCCTAATGTATTGACTTCGAGGCAGAGTGGTAGTCTTCCATTGACGAAACCAGATGTTAAACAGAGACAGTATGATGGAAGCAGCAGTGTGAGGCGTGCTGGAAGTTTTCACGGTGCTTTACCCGTAGACGCTTCTCAAGGTAAAAACCTTAGCAGACTGTACTCGTCTCAAGCTGTAGAGTCGGTAAAGGATCTTCATGAGGTGTTGCCATCTTCTAAGTCTGCACTAGCCAGCTCAATAGGCGTCTTATATAAGAAATTTGACGAGGAAAAAGAAAGCAGATCGGTGGACAACAAACCTGATCCTGATTTGTCAAAAGAAAATATTGAGCTAATTAAACCAGATGCGTGTGCTTCATCTGATATTGAAAAAGAAATGCAGGAAGTGCATGTAGATAACGATGGAAATACATCTCCAGTGCTTGACACACCTGAACTCGATGTATTTCATGAAAACCTAGAGACAGATAAACACGATGGCTATCTTTTACTTGATTCTGAAAAAGAAAACCCCGAAGACTGTCAAGATAAGGATTTTTCTGTCGTTGATAAGGGTATAGAAATCTCACCAATTGAACCCATTAAAGTAGAGGAATCATTCACAGAGGCTTCTGAAGATGCTTCTACAGTTGATAGTTCTCTTATCCTAGATACTGCAGGTTTACAAGTTTCTTCCGAAGATAGTTTTATACATGATTCTCTTCATGAGGCAAATGACGGTTGTAAGGATCACACGGTGGCCGATGAATCTGCTTACGAAGATGATGATTTATTCACAAATGAACTGCTGCAAGAATTAGAAGCTGCTATAAATAGTGTCTCAGATTTGGAGACGGTGGCTCTAGAATCTCCAAAAAAATTGGAATTCAGAACTGAATATAAGATGAGAAAGACAGATAGCTTAGACGATGTTACAGAATCGGTTGCAAATGAATTTTTAAGCATGCTAGACATAGACCATAGTTCAGCGGGCTCAAATTCTGGAAACGAGCCCGAGTCTCCGAGAGAGCTTCTGTTAAGACAATTTGAGAAGGAATCACTGGGTGGTGGCTTCTCTTTATTTGATTTTGATATGGACTGTGACAACGAAGCTGGTGATGACTATGATGCCTCTACTGGATCTGAGCAGTTGAACTCCTTATGGTGAGACACAGCTAGCTAATACAAATCCTCATCAGTCATCCGGAAAGGCGTGAATAACCTGGCAAATATTTTATCTTGACCAACAAACAAATTGAAATCAAGGGGGGCCTGAAACTCCAGGGAAGAGTTCAGATATTTTATAGAAGACATCCATGACCTGAAACGTAAAGAGAAAGACGGAAATGTAAAATTCAATGTACAAGAGGCTAAAAATGCTTCCAAGAAAGACAAATTGAAGGTATCATAATACCTCCTTATCATTTTGATATTTAGCAATACTCATTGGATTCTGTGAACACTGCAACCAAAACAAGAAGCACTCAGAGATTTGATATGAAATATTAATGAAGTGGTACTTAAAGTAGAACTTACATCCATGATAGCTGCTTGAACTCTAGGATTTTGAAATGCCATGGCAACATCAGGATTGGCCATAATCTTTGAAATGACTTCTTCGGGAGAAAGCCCAATTTGATCTGATGAAAGTGATAATATAAAATGTTAGAAAACAGGAAAGGAGAATGTAGAAAGAATTAAAGAATTGATCCATCTCTCAAAAAAGACATCTCTTGTAAAATGTGAGACATATCAAATTGTTGTTTAACAGCAGGACTATTAAGGTCGAAATTCTTTAAGGTGTCCATCATTCGACTGTCCCATTCAGTGCCTCCAACCATGTTGTTTCTGAAACCAAATATATAGGAGAAAAAGAAAGGATGTGTGAATCCCTAGTGGCCAGAGAATACAGTTTACCAATATATTACTAGAAAATACATTGATTTATATAACTGCAGCACATAGAATGACACTTTAGTGAGAAATAACAAATAAGATTTACATTTCTCTGCAACTTTAGGTCTAAAATCAACGTAGTGACCATGAATCCAGTCATAAGTAAACTCAAACAAAAGGTTATTGTACAAAAGCAGAAGAATGGTCATTTAATTTCCTCCAGGACTGGCATTTATCCTAATTCCAAATGTTAGGTTCTGTTAGGTAAAGAATAGGGAGTCAGATTCAGTGTTAACAAATAGCAGCGCCATGGGCGCTATGATGGATATACATGGCGGTTTTTAGGCTCGGCGTAATGGTAAGTATCAGCCGATATTGCAGGTTTTTTTGCCATAATCCGCTACAATGGTGCCGCAGAGCGGTCGATATGGCGGGATTTGGCTCTCCGCCATCGACAACACTACTCAGACTTAACTAATAGATTTAACGGAATGGGGGGCTAATAGCCACTTGTACTTCACTGACAAATGAAAGAAATGATGACTTCAGAAAGAGGAAAACTAACTTTCCTTAGTGAATGTTTCCATTCACCAGAAAACTAGTTTTTGTATAATCGTCAGACAAAGCAATGTAAGTAAGCACTTCACCAAAAGCTTAGGGCCTTTTTATTTTATTTCATTTACCAAACCAAAGCACCACCTTTTCACTTAATTTTGTGTTTTCAAAGGTTTGCATATGAAACAGTGAAAATTCTATTGTTTTCATTGCTTCCTATAAGAAACTTTGAAAATAGAAAACAGAGGTAAGACAAGACAACATTTTTGTAATTAAGAGTGAATACATAAAATGTTCCTTAAAAGCAAACAAACCTTTATGTTTACAAATAAAATCACCTAGATACATGGAGCAAGAAAATATCGGTGGACAAAAAAAGGCTTGGAAGATACTAGTACAATAAAAATAACTTACAACATTTCTTCAAGTCGTTGACGGTACTCAGGATTCTGCAGCATCCCTGCCAAAAGCAGCAACAGTACATCAACTATCCATCGGCCAAATTTATTAACATGTCATGTAGAAATTATCATCTAGCAGTTGAAAGTGACAAACATGATTTTGAGTTTTGATCAGTAGACTTAATTTAACCAACATAAATAGTGCTTCCATTATAAACACATCAACAGATAGATAGATAGAGTTACCTCATAAGCCTTCTCACTGATGTTGTTTCCTGACTATTTGAAGAAGAAATGCTAGCAAAAGTATGCACAGTGACCTTCCCCTGCACTGAATTCCGAGCATGTATTACTTATGAATGCCTCTTCAGACATGAGTGCAAAACATTGAAATACATTCAATTTGCATGGAAATTTTCATTATAACTATGTCGATTCAACTTCAATTTCAATATAATTACATACATTTCATTCAAGTACATCATAACCTAATAACCCTATTTCTGGTAAGCAAAAATCATATTCATAAGATTACCAGATTTTAGATTTTGGTGAGATTTAGAAGCAGCCCTGGTGACATGAGAGGATGAAGAGTTAGCAGAAATGCGAAAAGTCCCAAAAGCGAAAGGCTTTCTTCTTGTGAAGACGTTTTTTGAGGAGGAATGTCCCAGAAGCAGAGGTTTAGGGGAAGAAAAAAGGGCTAAGTTAAGATTCTCCATTTCGAAGGTATGAAAACTGAAAATTGACGAAACTGAGAAATTGGTGGTGGTTGTGAGATGAGAAACTGAGCTTCATGATTCTGCAGAGGAATTTCCATCACAGAAACTTTCTTTCCTTCTCTCACCTTCATCTTCATCATTCATCACAGTTCACAGAAAGTCTCCTTCAAACTTCTCTCTGTTGTCTCCCCTTAATTGCTCTGCATCTTTAACCTTCCTTGATTCGTTATCTTCATACACCTTTAATCTTCATCAAAAATCGCAACACCCTCTTATGCTTCACCAAATTTGCTTCTCATTAAATTCATCACAATCGCAACGACAACAACAACGATCAACATATCTACATCCTCACTCCTCTGTATTAATATCAACAACTTCATCATCACAGAAACCACACTACATCAGCGACTCCATTGCTTCAACTTCTTCCTCAACACATCTATAACAGTCGTACAACATAGAACATCACAACAACATCATTCACGGAGTCACATCGAAAACAACATAAACACATGGAATCGCATGAAAAAGAAGATAGAAGGAGTCGAATAAGAGGATGAATTGAATACAAAGCATATACTTGAACATATTTTTGGATTTCTCGTTGCTATCGCAATCGATGTGGCACCAGGCTATCTCCGGTAGGTAACACTCATCAATCTCTTGATTCATTCCATTAGTGTTTAATGTTTGTTTTTGTTCGGCTAGTTTGGTTGAATCGATGGAGAGATAAGGGAGAAATGAAAACAGAAATGAAGAGAGTGAAACGAAGAGAGCGAGACGAAGTGTGTTGATAGATTTGAAGACGGATCCGCGAAGAGATGAGGTAAAGAAGATGCATTTCGCAGAGACCTTCTATGGTGAAATGGATCGGAGAAGATTGATACGCGGTAGCGAAATGGAGAGGAATGTTCAAAGAATTGGGACCGTCACAAATTCAATCCTGAATTTCTCTCCATACGCTGTGTTTTAATACTCTTCCATATTTTGGGGGAACTGAAGATAGTTGAGAGTGGTCTGTGGCGGAATGAGAGTTTGGGTTTCGGGTTCCTTGTTTGCGGTAGGGATAAGTGAAAAATAGAAATTTATGATTTGGAACTTGGATTGCTAGAGAATATACTAGCAAATAAAATGCAAGGTAAAAAAGTTTTTTAAAATGGGAAAAATGAAACACTGGTCTTTTAAAAATATAAAAAGAAAAACCAAAATCTACTTATCAAAAAACTCCATAAAAGTCCATGTGAGTTACCTCACTTGGATGGGATATTCTTAGATCTTAGTAAATATGAGTGGTTAGGGTGGCTCACGGTGGTAATAAACTTTATTTAGTGATATTTATAATGTTTACGGAGTAGAAAGTGAATTGATGTTTTATGTATTTTAAGAGCTTTTTAACTTTTTTACGGCGACGGGTGTTTTACCGTCGTGCCCATGAGAATTTTTAAAGGTTTTGGGTGCGACGGTTATTTTACCGTCGTGAAATGAATTTTAGGACGGATAATTTTACCGTCGTGAAAGGTTTAAGGGTGCGACGGGTGCTTTACCGTCGTGATATGCCTTTTAGGACGGTTAATTTTACCGTCGTGACTAGTTGTTGGTGAAAAATCAATGTTAAAAGTGTTAAATGGGGGCCGACGGTTGTTTTACCGTCGTAATAATAATATTATGATGGTTAAATATACCGTCGCAAAATAAATATTAGGGACAGTTGGTGTCAACTGTCGTAAACACTGTCTCTATATGTCAATTACGACAGTTATCACATAACTGTCGCAATTTTTGTGTCGTTAAACACTAATTTTCTTGTAGTGAAACAACACTGTTAAAAGGGTTAAAACATAAGAAAGATCTTTGAGTAAAATAGGGTAGACAAACTTTTAGTTACTTGATCAAAAATCTTGCAAAACATCCTTGCCATTTTTCAAAACACACTCCACAACACAACTTCAAAAACAACTTTCAAAACATTGAATTATCTTTTCAAAAAGACACACACCTTTGTATATATTCAAACAAGAAGCATTACAAAGGTTGCCTAGACAAGGCATCTTTTTCAAAACATTTTCAAAACCACACACACAAAGCACCATTTCAAACGATTGAAAAGCAAAGGCAAGTGATCTAAAACAAGTAACTAAGAGCCCATGGATAACCATGGATGAAAAGGGTGCTAGCACCTTCCCTTTTCATAATCTACCCTCCGAACCCACGAAAACATCTCAAAGGTCTTTCCTGTGCTTTTTGACCTTTCCTTAGGATAAAATAAAAAGTCGGTGGCGACTCTTGCTAAACCAAACAAGTGCGAAAACAAACGCAAAATCCCAAGTCAGTTCTCCCACCGTATCACAGAACTGGAGACTTTGCTGAGGAAAATTATAAAGTGGGGTTACCTTAGGGTTTTAGATCACCTTTACATGCTTACCTTGACTTCTTTGATTGCTTTACTTTTTGGGTTCCTCGTTTGGGTTTGTTTTAAATCCTACACCCGAATTTGGGGGCACCTTTTAGGTAAGTAGCAATAAACTGTGAGGGAACTGTGTGGGGTATACCGACATGGTTGAAGCAGTAGCTACGTTAGTGTGACATATTTGTGG